GCGTGGGCAGCAGCCAGCCTTGCTACCAGTCGGTGCTGGGGCGGGCGGGCCGAGGATGCGCCAAGCAACCTGGGCTGGGCGGGCCGGCTCCTGGGGACGTGGGTGAAGGTGAAGGTGGTTCCTACCCAGCCTGGCCAAGGTCGGAAGTGGCGTCCAATGGCCAGGACCTCCTCGTACAGGGCCTGTGGCTTCGACCCGCCTTTCCTCTCATGAGGCCCTCCCGCCCACGGCGTGCCAGACTCCACACACAGCCCAGGGGAGGCTGGGCCGGCGGCAGCACCCGTCCCGCTGTGCTCCAGGGCTGTCGTCAGTAGCACTCCGGCTGGAGGCGCTGCTGTGCCCACTTTACAGACAAGGCCACTCCAGGGGTGTCGTCTATGCCGGAAGTCTCAGCCTGCGACGGGGCGGGAAGAGTGTCCAGGGCAGCAGGGACACTGCCCTCGTGTGCACTTCACCCCTGCGGGTCGGGGCTTCTAGAGCCTCCTGGCCCGCTGACCGCCCTGCCCTGTCCCTTCCTTCTGCCCCCGCAGTCTCAGATCCGAACTGCAGAGGGGCTCCCCGGCGAGGCTCTGCAGCGAGTGCTCCTCAGACCCGGGCCCTGGCCTGGCCAGAGCGGCCACAGCTTCTCAGGCTGCTGGCAGCATCACGGCGTGACCCGTCCCTGGGAGCAGGACCGCGGGCCTGGGCCTTTGTGCAAGTCGCACGGTCCCGGCATAGCAAGTGCCCGTGGGTAGGGGTGCAGGTCCCTGCTGTCCGGGCGAGAGAAGCAGAGCTCCGCCCACTGCGGCTGGCACCGCCCACGCCGTGGCTTGCTGCCCCCACTGCTGTCCGCTTCCCATTTGAGGGGACCACGAGGCGTCAGCTGCTGGCAGGCCAGGGCCAGAGCGGATGGAGCCATAGGCGCTGTGGAGGCCGGCAGCAGGGACAAGCAAGGTCTCCTATACAGGTGGACAGCACCTATGTGCCAGGACAGAGACCACACCTCACCCACCCAAGGCCACACTGTGCCACCTGGGCTGCTCTGTGGGCTCCATGGACGGCACAGCAACGGGCAGTGTGGGAGGCAGCGTGGGGGCTCCACTGCAGTGCTGCTCTGTCCTCCTGGCTGGCTCGAAGACCCTCCCAGGCACCAAAGCCTGGGACACCTGCCTCCCAGGGCCAGAGGGGCCAGGCCTTCCTTGTAGAGCGACGTCCTTCGCCGACTGCCCCGTGATCCCTCGGACGCTGGCCACCCTCAGCCCACAGAGCTCGCCTCGCGCCTGGCCTGGGAGCCACAGCGATGGGAAATGGGGTCTGTGCATCTCAGGAGATGGGGGCTGCCACCTCCCTCTCCCCGGGACCAACAGGGTGCTAGGAAAAAAAGCGTGGAAGAGCCTCCCCGAATCACTGGTCTGAGTCAGAGGTGTGCATGCCCAAAGTCCCCGCACGGCCCGGCAGGGAGCCGCCACAGCCCGGCAGGGCCCCTCCAACCAGCCAGCTGCACCCCCGTGCCCTCCGCCTCCTGCCTCAGCGCCTTTGTGCTCACCCCCCTCTGCCTGGGTCACCTTTCGCAGCACCTTCTTGGGCCACCTCCTCACGGAAGCCCTCCATTGCACCCACCTGAAGAATGAAGCTGCCTTGGCCCAGGCTCCCTGGGATGGCTGCCAGAGCACGTGTGGAGTGGCCCGGGATTCTGTGACTCTGGCCAGCAGCTGGTGGGCGCCGGGCCTGGGAGACCCCCACCCTCCTCAGTCAGTACCGTGGGCCTTTGGTGAGGTGAAGACAGAGGCCCACGCCCAGTGCAGGGCGCCCACCGGTGCCTCGCCCCAGCCCACCCACCAGCCGTTGTCACCTGTCTCCGGGGGGCATGAGCAGCAGCTGGGACGGCCTCTTCTCTTCCTATCCCTGCAGGAGGGACCTTGGTAGGACCTGGTCTCCCGGACACATGGGGGGTCAGGAGGCGTGATGGTGAGCATGTGTGCATGACGGTGCACAGGAGGAAGCAGGTGTGCATGCTTGAGAGCACCGGGTGTGCGTGGGCGTGTGCACGGTGTGTTCGCAGGAGATGGGTGTGTTACTGTGTGCATGAGGGTGTGCACAAGCATGGTGTACGTACATGCACGTCTGTGAGTGTGTGTGTGCACACGAGAGTACCCGCGTGTGCGCGTGAGTTTGAGATTGGGTGTTGGGAACGTATGTGCATGAAAGTATTATATGTGAATGTGTGCACGTGAGCCCATGTGTATGAGCCCATGTGTGAGTGTATGAGCATGTGTGTTCATGAGTTTATACGTGTGTGTGCATGAGCGGGCATGTTTCCACATGTGTGAGCATATGTGCAAAGGTGAGCGTATGAATGCATGTCCATGAGAAGGTGTGTGCATGTGTGCACGAGTGAGCACTCGTGTGTGTGAGAGCATGCATGTGCACACAGGTGTGAACATGTGTGAGTGTGCACTCGTGTGTGATGCATGTGAGCGTGTGTATATGTGACAGCGTGTGCATGTGTGTGAGCACACAGCCTGAAAGTGAGTGCACAGTCTGAGAGTGCGTGAGCGTGTGCATGTGTCAGCATGGGTATGGGCGTGGATGTGTGTATGAGTGTGTGCGTGAGGGCGAGCATGTGTAAGGCTGAGTGTGGGGAGGACGCATCCACAGCCCCTTCTTCCCAGGAAGGGTCTGACCCTGTGATGACCTGGACCCCTGAACGATGAGCCCCGCACACCCTCTGAGACGCATGTGGGCCTAGTGCAGAGGGCCAGGGAAGAGGGGGTTATCTCCCAATTTAATGGCCAGTGGGACCCACCGAGGGTCACGGGGTGAAGCACGATCTCCCCCAGATAGGCTCCCTGAGTGCCAGGCGCACCGCATGGGCCAGGAAGCGCAGAACGGCTGGCAGGTCACGAAGGGGGCGATGTGCTGGGTCTGCAGGTAGCACAGGCCAGGCCTACCTGGCGGGGACAGCCGGAGGCCCCTGCCCACCTGTGGGGAGCATCGAGCGGGGACCTCCGCCCTCCTCCCTCCTACAGGGCGGGGGCTGGGGCTCCGGGAAGGACTGCCTGCCCTCTGCGGAGACAGGCCTGCGGGCCAGGGTTGATTCCCTCATCTTGAGCCACGGCCATGGGGGAGGCGCAGGAGTCTCAGGAGTCTCTTGTCAGAAGTGGGGCTCGCTCAGCAGCTCCCCACTGGCAGCCTCCTCCAGCAGGTGCGAGCCAGAGCTAAATATCTTTCATGTGACAGTGCAGGTCACACGGGCACATCTTTCACGTGACAGTGCAGGTCACACGGGCACAGCTTCTAACAGCTGTTACTTCTTCTTCTTTAAAGAATGATTTTATTGGGGACCAGCAGTTAGCATAATGACTGTCACTGGACTCCCATGTAGTTGACCGCGGTTCGCGACCTGGACCCGGTGGCTTAAACTCACGCCAGGCGCGTGTGCATGCGTGCCCAAGATCCTGAGAGGAGAATGGAGGAGAAGGGATTGCAGCGTGGCCATCCCCCCTGGGGGGTGATTTCTCACTTCCTGTCTCTCTGTCTCTGTCTGGCGAGTGCACGCACCCTGTAGCAAAAAACTCTAAAAAAAATGATTTTATTTAACTTTATTTATTTATTTTAATTTGACCAGAGAGGGGGAGGAGAAAAGAGAGAGAGAGAGTGAGAGAGTGAGAGAGAGAGAAAGCAAGAAAGCAAGCCGCCAGGTCCAGAACTCAAACCCCGCTCAGCCCTGTGGGATTCCAGCGCCTTTAACCACTGCGCCACCTGCCGGCCCCTCGGCTGCCACTTCCTTACACAAGTTATCATTACCATCTAAGGGGAATGTCAGCCCTGACTCGAGCTCTTCTGTGACTGCAGCACTGCCTTAGGGGCCCCTCCTCATGTCCTGGGACAGGTGCGGGCAGGTGCTGGCCTGCGTCCTGGGACGTGTGTGAGCTCTATGACGCACACAGCTGCTTCGGAGACCCACAGCACTGAGGTGCGGGAGGTAAAGCAGCGTGGCCGGGCCCAGCAGGGTGCCCGCAGGCTCAGCTCCAGAGCGGCTCGCTCTGGGCACCTGCTCTACTTAGAGAACTGTGCTTGGTCTCAGGCTTTTACAACCCTCGGACTCTGAACAGGGTCAGACTGGCCACCACCTGCCAGGCCAGGGAATCACAGAGATAGATAAGTGACAGGTAA